ACCAAATAAAAAAAATTAAATAGCATTGTAACTATAGTTATTTCAATTAAAAAAAATAAATTGTCTCACTAATTAATTGACTTAGAATAGACTTTTTATACTTAATGATCTAGATTTGTCAATTTAAATCCATATAACTAGTACAATAAGTCATGTTTCAATTTTATATTATAGTATTATATATAGCGATTCTAAATATTTTAAAGTAATTTCTTTTTACTTTTAAGTAAAAACATTTAATTTCTATAAAAAAATTTAATTGACTTAGAATAATAATTCAAAATTTACATGCGAACATTACTAATTAACAATTCCCACCATTCTTCTAGATGTATACCATGAACTCTTTTAAATGAAGGAGTAAATGGTTGGCCAACATTAAGCAAGGGAAGATAAAGAGGGATCCTCCTTAGGCTCTCGCAATCAACATTCCTAATCCCTTCAAGGGAATTACATGCTTAATGGTACTATCGTCACATTACAAATGCTTTTCAGTGCAGGCAAGTCATCCAATTTCAAAAGGTTTTAATTTTGGAGGAATGACCTTGCTGACTCCTCCTCTTTCTCCTTTGGGATTCAATCAAACATTCCCTCATCCTTAATAGCAGAAATATTCTTTAAGCTTGCGTTGTTGCTACCTGCGACCTGTCAATACCTAATACTTCTATAAAGGTAACATTGGATTCTCACCAACAATATCAACGCCAGCAAACGCCATCAACCTTCAATAGCTTAAAGGGACAACAAAATTATATTTGATTTAAATACAAATCTATCTTGACTTGGAAGAATTAGAATTAAAAAGTGAGATTTGGCTTTGTAAAAACAAATTAAGGTTAAAGACAGAAGATAATTAATCTTTTCGTTGATTTGACTATTCTCGGATTTCCTGCTTAAATCATCTTCAGATAAATCATGAAAATTGAGAAGATACATAGACAGCCAAGATAGCTAAACTATAATGCTTAATACACCATAAATTAGGCAAAGTTGTGCAGCAAAATACTTACAGACCTTAAGAGGGCCTCAGCTTTCAAGTTTATTTTCAACACAATTCACACACTAGGAAAAGAAGTTCTAATCCTCAAGGAACGCACACACATATATATTCAAATTGTTTGGAAAGCTATTGCATGACGGCTACCAGACTAAATGACTGGTTTAGAAACAAATAAGATTAAAAGATCTCTTTCAATATTGGAAAATGGGTTTACAAACAAGGCAAATTGAATTAAGCAATTATTGGAAATTCTTTAATTTGTTGAAACTGGATGATACAGCACAGACACCCATTTCTGAACCAACAGCCGATAATATTTTGACCAGCAAAAAGGGACTTTTATTGGAACCGCTATACATTAATGTAGCATAACTCTATTCCAATTAAGAAGACAACTGAAAATTCCAATTAAGAAGACAACTGAAAATCCATATAGGCAATTGATCGAATACTTGGTGTGCATGTGAAAAAGACATTCTATTCTCCCATATCCCAGGGTCCCAAAACCCCAACAATTAGATTTTCTATTCACTCCACTAACAAGTACTCCTATTTCTAAGTCTTTAAAGAGACAAGCTATCAATAAAAACAAAAAAGATGGCTATCAAAACACCAATTTGGCCTCACCATAGCAAAACTGTTGCAGAGCAACAACATGCAAAGAATAAGCAGTCACTAGTGCGATTGAGTCAGAAAGTAGAAGAGAATGGAAGAAAGAACCTTGTCCAAATCGAGTAAAGGAGTCATGGTTGAGATGAAGTGCTGCAGCGTGACAGCAGATGATTTCTTCTTCGACTTCTTCTCTACCTCCACCACCATTCCAACTTTCTCCTCTGCTGCTGTATACTTTAAATGTTAAAACTGAACACCTGAATCCTTTCCACCGGAGATTCTCTGATCAGACAGCTATTAAATTTCACATAAAAAAACATCGGCAGTTGATTTCAAAAATTAAAATGAGATCCTTACAAATGACTTCAAACAATAATTCATAATCAAATTTCAATACATCTCTCAACATCTGGTCCAATTCTAGATCTGATACTTCTCAGGACAACTTGCAATAGCTATTGTATATCAACCTTCAATGTCAACCCCAATATTTAAAATACAAACATCATCCCTTTTTTGATTTCATTGAATGAAAGCACAAAGGGGTACTCAAACCCAACACCACGGTATAAACACTTCAGCAGGCCGCTGCAAAGAAATAATTACAGAATCCAGAGCCACTTAGATACTCATCATGCTCCTCAAAGTGCTCAGCCAAATCAAGTTTAAGAATCCATCAACAAATGTTTCTGTGTCATAGACACTGGTGTTGCAGCCACGTTCATTCGCCTCCAGTCACTTAGAAACCCTACCTAAACATATTTAAAATGCCAAAAATTTTATTTCCAATTTAGAATTCTAACAATTGGGAAAAGAAAAATAGAACAAGACCTTAGGGCACCTCTTTAATTGGTTGTGTTTGGTCGAACCACGGAAATGACAAAGGCTTCCTTCTCTGAACTTTGGAAACCATCAACAGTTGAGATTTCAACATCCTTGTAAAATAGCACTCAGCTTCGTCTTCACTCAATGCCCCATCTTCTTCATCCTTTTTTATATACCATGTTATATCTGAAGCATATCAAATGTGAACCTTTTACAAATTTACAAAATAAACTTGTACAGAGCAAAATTTCCTAGAATAACT